CCTCAGCCCCTCACCCAGACTGGCCAGGCACCCCAATGGGGACCCCCACCCTGAAGGGTGTGTGACCAGCTGCAAACGGCCATCATCCCCTCACCCAGGCTGGCCAGGCACCCCAGTGAGGACCCCCACCCTGATCCAGGACACCCTTCGGGGCAACCCAGCCGGCACCCACCCATGCACCAGGCCTCTACCCTATATAGTAAAAGGGTAATATGCCTCCCAGCACCGGGATCAGCAGAGCCGCGAGGCCTCCTGGCACCGGGATCAGCGTGACAGGGGGCAGCGCCCAAACCTCCTGATCGCCCAGCGGCTCTGTGTGTGACAGGGTGCAGTGCCCCAACCCCCGATCGGTCCTGCTCTGTGTGTGACGGGGTGGCCCCGGAACCTCCCCATCGACCCTGCCTTGAGTGTGACGGGACGGTGCCCCAAATCCCCAACCGGCCCTACCCTGAGTGTGACTGAGGGTGGCATAAGAACCTCCCGATCCGTCCTGCTCTGTGCATGACAGGGGGCGGCGCCCCAACTCTCCAATCAGCCCTGCTCTGATCCCGACCAGGGGCTGCACCTAGGGATTGGGCCTGCCCTCTGCCACCCGGGAGCAGGCCTAAGCCAGCAGGGTGTTATCTCCCGAGGGGTCCCAGACTGCGAGAGGGCACATGCCGGGCTGAGGGACCCCCCCTCCCCGCTGAGTGTACAAATTTTTGTGCACCGGGCCTCTATATATATAAAAGACTAATATGCAAAGTATCCCCTCGGGAGTTTGTCCGGGAGTTCAGTCGCTTACTATGATATGTGCTCACCACTCGGGGGGTGGGGGGGGCGGGTGGCACGGAACGAAGGAAAGCCCCAGCCAGCACCCAGGGAAGGAAGGCTCCTGCCAGCAGCCAGAAGGCTCGATTGGCCCTGATCACCGGCCAGGCTTAGGTACCCTACCCATGCATGAATTTCGTGTACTGGCCCTCTAGTATTAATATATTTCTTCTAATTAATTTCCTTTCGATGCACACGAATTTGTGCAGCAGGCCACTAGTAAAACTATAAAGAGTATATACAGCATACAGTTGTGAATGTAATCACAATAACTGGACCAGCCTTCATGATGTACTGTATTAGAGAATGTAGAAGCATGCTTCTCTGAATTTCTTAGCCATTCTCAAGAACTTAAAATAGAAGAAAAAAAAATCATTGTATTATGTATATGTACAATCTGGCATAAGAGAACAGTTTTCAATTTGTAAATAGGCTTTTAATGTAACAGCCTGCAGTTTTTAAGTTTAAAGATTATTAGGAAGAGAATTCACTCAGATTTTTTTCTGCTTTCTATTGCTTGGACAGCACAGTCCTCATATCTTGCCTTGTTTCCTTTCTAGGTAAAAAGGGACTTAGTGAGGATTGGTAGAGTTAGAACATGAAGAAATTCTGAGCTGTAAATCAGAAATGAACCAGATGATGAGAAAAAAACATGTAGCTCATCTGTTGAGAAAGATAAATTTGCTTTTTCCCCATTTTTCTCAAATGTTGAAGCTGATATGTAGCCTCTTAATGAATATCTGTGTGCATAACTTTCTCTGCAGTACTGATATTTTTTTTTTCATAGATGATATTTCTGGAAGAGAATTATTGAGTTAAAGATCATGTACCAGCCGAAACTGGTTTGGCTTAGTGGATAGAGCGTCGGCCTGCGGACTGAAAGGTCCCAGGTTCGATTCCAGTCAAGGGCATGTACCTGGGTTGCGGGCACATCCCCAGTAGGAGATGTGCAGGAGGCAGCTGATCGATCTCTCTCTCTCATCGATGTTTCTAGCTCTCTATCTCTCTCCCTTCCTCTCTGTAACAAATCAATAAAATATATTAAAAAAAAAAAGATCATCTACCATTTTAAGGCCCTTAATATATATTGCCAGATTACCCTCCATGAAGCCTTGGTTTTAATAACAATATTGGGAACAATACTTTGGGTAGTGGTTGACCATTGCCATTTAGAGAAGTATGGTGTATCTTTATGATGGGATGTAAAGCAGTTGTTTAAAAGAATGAAGTTAAGGTAATATATCTTGACATTGAAAGACATCAGCAAGTTGTTAGGTAGCAAATGCTACTTTCAGAAAAATATGCATAATATGATTCCATATATAAAATTCTGGAAGTTTACATAAGAATGTTTTAAAACTGGTTTCCTTTGGGATAGGGATGTGAGATTGGGATGAAAGGTATTAATTTTTACTTTATGTACTGATGTTTGCATTTTCAAGAAACATTTTGTAATAAATATTTTTTAAAAGATAAAGTATAATTATAATATTACTTAACACTTACTATGTACCAGTAACCTTTCCTGTTTTTTAATGTCTTTTATTCATTTCATCCCCCTAATGATTTTATGAGGTAGATACAATTATTATCCCTGTTTTACAGATGAGAAAACTGGCAAGTGTTGGGTATAACAGCTGTACTAGTAAGTGATAGAGTTGGAGTCTGGCTTCAGTCTGTGCTCTTAACCACTATATTAATATATGTCAAGGAAATATTGTCTTCCTTAAGTAGAAATGCTTTCAGTTATGCTGAGTGTTAAGGCAATTAGAGAGATTACTTTTACTAAGTTTTTCTAGGTATGTCTCCCCAAGTTCCTAGATTATGATTGCTTACATATTTTTAATATAGGAAGTAGAATTTAGATATTGGTGTGGAAATCCTTCAAAAAAGTAAGGTCCAGAAAACCTGATGTTGTTACACCCTTTTTTCTCTTTGATCAGCTACTTCAAATGAACATTAATTGTATTTTAGGGAACACTGGCTTCCACAGAGACCCATCTGGAACTCCTGCTTATTTAGTTTTGCCTCTGCCAGAGCAGCTCCGGCCTTTTATTTGTTTTTGTTAATTGTACACATTGGGATTCTGTACAAGAACTGGTTCTAAAATAAGTTTGAAAATCCCGGAAACAGTGAAAGCAGAAAAATAACAACACAAAAAACAACCAACAGTTTATCATACACCTCTCTCTTTCTCTGCCTCTCTTTCCAGTTAAAATATTTTGCCGAACTCTAAATTTAGTGATGCATTTGGCATATTTCTTAACTCCAGAGGCATTCCAAATATTTAGTTAAATATTCAGTGTTAAATCTGCCTTAGCTTTGCTAGTTCCATTTGTTAACCTATGTTGAGTTCTATCTAGTCTGTGTACATTTTTATGCAACATAGAATAAGACCATGGAGACGCCATGTAACTGTGTTGCTTGGCAATATAGTCCCAAAGAATTAGTAATAATTATGGAACCGTGACAACCCTATGACTGCCTCATAGGGAAAGGAAGGAAAAGATCACTTTTTTAAAATATATATATATTTTATTTATTTTTTACAGAGAGGAAGGGAGAGGGATGGAGTTAGAAACATCAATGAGAAAGAAACATCGATCAGCTGCCTCCTGCACACCCCCTACTGGGGATGAGCCTGCAACCAAAGTACATGCCCTTGACCGGAATTGAACCTAGGACCCCTCAGTCCACAGGCCGATGCTCCATCCACTGAGCCAAACCAGTTAGGGCAAGATCACTTCTTTTTTATTTAGCAAACACTGTTCTAAGTAATTTACAAGGGTAAACTCTTCTTTATTGATTTCAGATAGAGAGAGAGAAACATTGATATGTTGTTCCACTTATTTATGCATTCAGTGGTTGATTCTTGTATGTGCCCTGACTAGGATTGAACCCATAATCTTGGTGTATAGGGATGACTGAGCTACAAGCCTAGGGACAAATATAAACTCTTTTAATTAGTGTGTAACTGAGCAGCTACTGTTTAGTAGACACTTTACCTATCCTAATATATAAAAAGCCAGGGGCTGTTACAACCAGACTGATGACCGAACGGCAGGCTGCATGGAGCGACAAGGCCGGCACGGGGGTTAGTGAGGGATGACCAAACGACTGAACAGCAGGCTGTGCGGGGTGACCAGGTTGGCAGGGGGAGCAGTTGGGGGCGACCAGGCCAGCTGGGAGGCAGTTGGGGGCAACCAGGCCGGCTGGGGGGCGGGGGGCAGTTGGGAGTGAACAGGCCGGCAAGGGGGGGCAGTTAGGGGCAATCTGGCTGGCAGGCAGAAGCAGTTAGGGGTGATCAGGCAGGCAGGCAGATGAGTAGTTAGGAGCCAGTGGTCCCACATCGTGAGAGGGATGTCCCGGATTGGAGAGGGTGCAGGCTGGGCTGAGGGGACACCCCCCATGCATGAATTTTGTGTACCAGGCCCCTAGTCTATAATAATAAAAGTGTAATATGCTAATTATACCGGACGACCTTCCGGACGAAGCCGGGACTGTGAGGGAAGCCCTGGTCCCGGGTGCCAGAGGGAAGCTGGTGACGGCAGCTGGGGGAAGGAAGGCCTACTCTTGCATGAATTTTGTGCATCGGGCGTCTAGTGTTTCTATATTTCATCATCACAGTAGCCCTGGGAGGTAGATACTATGTTATTATCATCTCTGTTTTACAAATGAGGAAATTTAAGGTCAGACAGTCAGATACTAGTAGATAGTAAGGGGTGGAGTCATATTTCTAATCAGGTATGCCTTTGAGCTTTCCCTTCACATCAGGGTGACGTTGAGCGCACTTCTAGATCTGGAATAGTCCTCACCTCATTTAGAGTGCCTTTAGGGTTTGAACCTTATTTGGGTGATTATTCTGATTTGCTGATAGAATACTGTTTAGCCACAGAACTCTCTCTAATGCTTTTGCTGGGAGTTTAAAGCAATGGCCCCATCAACCTGCGTGGTGACAATTTCCAAAACAAAATTTATTGTAAGGAATGGAAATTACAGAAGAAAAAATACTTTACTATCTCTTTTTTTGTGAAGTTAGCTTATTGGCTACTGTTGTCAATTCTTGTTAAAATTAAAACACCTTAATGTGTTCAGCAAACTGATTAAGCCAAGAAATATTTTTAGGCCTATCTACATTACCAAGGCCACGTATATCCCCTTTTCTGTGACTCCGCCCCCTTCGACTGTTCCCCTGAGAAAACTTCAGTGTTGCCTGTAGCAGATAAACAGTTATTTCTCCCCCCAAACCAATGAGGCTTAATGAAAAATCTAGAAGGTAGTAACTCGTGCAAGAGAAGAAAGAAGAGACAAGTTCTTACAAGGTATGTTTAGTGCATAAAGGAGGAAGAATAGAAGGTATGAGATATAAAGGAAAAAAAGGAACTAATTTGTGGGATAGAGGGACAGCTTTTTTTCACATTTTGTTAGCACTATCACCTGATTTAATTAGAGCTAGCTGCATTAATTTTGTGCTCCAGATCTGTACACAAGTTGAGACTTTTATGATTGCATTTAAGTTGCTTCTCTAGGAGCTTCTCAATTGTTTGTGCTAATTAGGACATAGTTGTTAACTTATTTACTAGATGATCTTTATGAAACTGTCATATATTGATGTTATTTGTGGAGAGGATACAACTAAATAGCTGAGGTAGACTATGGAAAAGATGTAAACTAAAATATTAAAGGTAAATAGCCTGTCTAGATATAAAGTAGCTATTTTTTTAAAAAGCAACCTAAAAATTTCCAGTAGTGTTTATTGTATATAAACAGCTTTCACCAGAAAGAAAATTGGCTGAAGGACACATTTACTAGTTTTAGAGTTCAACTTTCTAATTTGGTTGATTGCATGAGCTGCTTCAAGAACAAAACTATATAGATTTCTAAACTTTTATTGCTCCTTGTTTAGCTGTCTCAGGATATGTTTTGCGTTTGGTTTGGGGCAAATGAGACTTCTTATCTGAATTCAGCATATTCACATCTGTGTGCACATGACAGATTTCAGTTCTGCTTTGCTTAATTTAAGTTATCTGACTTGTCCAACAGGTTCCTGGGTGGAGTTACCCATGAACAGCAGCAATGGTAATGATAATGGCAATGGGAAAAATGGAGGACTGGAGCACGTCCCTTCCTCATCCTCTATCCACAATGGAGACATGGAGAAGATTCTTTTGGATGCACAACATGAATCAGGACAGAGTAGTTCAAGAGGCAGTTCTCACTGTGACAGGTAAGTGAGATCCATGTTTTGGTAGAATTCAGAAAACAGATGGGTTACAAGGTTAATTCCCATTAGGAAAAAATAAATGGCAAAATATGACAGCCGATTTATTACAGCATGTGTATTTAAAATCAGACAGCTAATTGGCAGGTGCTTGAGTGCCCACTGTTTTTCCCCATATTAAGGCAGTTCCTTATCAGACTGTATCATATTTAGATGATTATCATTTTAAAAGTCAGTGGCATACCCTGGCCGGTGTGGCTTAATTGGTTGGGCATCGTCCCATGTACTGAGAGGTTGCCGGTTCGATTCCCGGTCAGGACACATGCCTGGGTTGTGGGCTTGGTCCTTGCGGGGGCGGGTGATGCAGGAGGTGGCCGATTGATGTTTCTCTCTCTCTCCCCCTTTCTTCTCTCTCTGGAAATCAGTTTAAAAAGTCTTTTTAAAAAAGTCAATGGCATAAATGTTTACTTATAAAATTAATCTACCTTCCTCCCATTTTCTTTTATCTTTTGTGTCCCTGTTTCACAGATCACATTCTGCCTTGACTATAGTTATCTCTGTGTATATCTGTCCTCCCTTCTAGATTGGAGGCTCCAGAAGGCTGGGGTCGTGTTCCATCTCCTTTGTTCTTTCACAGTGATGGTGCTGGCGTGTAGCAGACACTTAGTAAATGTTTGCGTCACAGGAACTGCAAGGTGGTTCAAGTTAGAACAGTATTTGCACGGTGGGAGCACCAGCCAAGTCTGTAAAGACAGTTAATTTTGAAGGCCATTCTGTTTATCTGAGGAAGTTTTATTTTAGACCTCATTTTTCTCTAAGTTAGAGAAATTAATTCCACGGATTAAGGACTTTTTATGGTGAAACAAGAATATAGAGGAAGATATATGTAGAATGAAACTGAGCTGTTAGTTTATTTTCAGTATAAGCATCTCTGTTTTTCAGAGGAACTAGATATTCAGTGACACACTGGTATCATGTAACAATTCTTAGATCAGTGACAGCCATACTAATAGCACTGTGGGGTACTGGATGATCTTCTGGTTAATGAACTGGTATCAGCAATGTAGAAAATGCAAATGCTCAGGAAAAGATTAAAGAACATTTAAAAATGTAAACAGTGGGCCCTAGCTAGGTAGTTCAGTTGGTTAGAACATTGTCCTTATACGCTCAGGTTGCAGGATCAATCCCTAGTCAGGGCACATACAGGAATCACCAATGAATGCATAAATAGAACAAGTGGAACAACAAATCGATGTTTCTCTGCCAGTCTCTCTCCAAAAAGAAAGAAATAAAAAATTTAAAAAATATATACACAATGATTATCTTTAGGGGATGGAATTACAGACTTTTCTTCTTTTGAATATATTTGTACTTTGTAAAAATTGTGTGTGTAACAGGTATTATTACTTATAAAAAAAAAGTATAAAAGGATTAATTGAGGTAAATCACGTTTTGAAGTTCCTGATGTTACCAAGGCAGCAGAGGATTGGTTTGCTGTCTCTGTGGCACAGTGTGCACCCCCCCCACCCTGTCTTATCTCTGACTTGCCCCTGTGCTTTTAATGAGCCTGGGATGGCTCTAGTCAAGAAGCAGAAGGAGAGCAGAGAGCTCTTTTCTGAGCAGCTTGCCTTTGATTCCAGTCGCGACAGCATTAGTGTGTCTTTCAGAATGAAGTTTATATTGTACAGGCATACCTTAGAGATGTTGCAGGTTTGGTTCCAGATCACTGCAATAAAGCTAGTATCTCAATAAAGCCAGTCGTAGTAGTAATTCTTTAGCTGGTGGAGGGTCTAGTCTTCAATTTGTAAAATATACATCTGTAAAATGCAATAAAGCAAAGTACAATAAAACGTAGCACAAAAAAGAAAATAGAAATGTATTACATGCATCTCATGGAACTCCCTGATAGTTTCTGTAGTTCCTGCTTATTGTGGCCCTGTCAATAGGCTTTCAGTATCCATCAAGGAGGTGACCCTTGGTCATTGGCACCAGTGTGTTCCTTCATCTCTTGTTCACTGTGCTGTCATTGAGCAGAAAACAGGTCACTTGCTTGCCTCTCTGGTCATCTTATTTCATTTACTAGAGGCCCGGTGCATGAAATTCATGCACGAGTGGGTCCCTAGGCCTGGCCAGTGATCAGGGCTGATCTGCAGGGCGACTGGTGGGGCGATTGAAAGGCCTCCGCTGGCACCCACCTTGGCTGGCCTGGCGCCCCCCCCCCCCCCCATTTGCCAGCCCTGCTCCCTGCCACCGACGCTGGGGGCAGCTCCTGCATTGAGCATCTGCCCCCTGGTGGTCAGTATGCATCATAGCGACCGGGCATTCTGCCCATCATTCTGCTGATCAGTCGATTTGCAGTTATACTTGTGATTAAATATGAAGTCACCTTTGCATGATTGTGTTTCACTTGGGTTTCTAAACATGTGAAGTGAGGGGTGGCAAATGCTTTTTAACACTTTTCTGTCCCTCAGCTTATGTATCTACAGGCTCTGGGTTACTGGCCATCTTTCAGAGGAGGCCTGGAACTGTAGTTCAGTAATACTTTTGGGGTATCTGACTAACACCCTTTAACATTTAAAAGAGTTTTCATAATTCATGTCATTTGAATTGTCATGCATCTCTCTATTTGAAGTTGTTAAGAAATATTTCTTATAGGTGGGAAAGTTTTAGGATTTTTGGGTATTGGTACCAAAGCTAATTTATATATACTTTGAGTTTTAAAATGATTCCATAGATATGTTTTTATCACTGTGGTGGTTGTTAGAAGATCACCCCTATGTGTTTTGCTTTGCGTTCCACCCTGTTGTAGGAGTTTTCAACCTACATGCTAGATTCACCCAGGGAGCTTTAAAAATACCAGCGCACAGACCTGGAGGTTCTCATCCTGTTGTCAGGGGAGGGTAGAAACATGAGAACATTTTAAAGTCTCTCCAGCTCATCTTAACAGGAGCCAGGATTGAAGCTCTAATGCATTCCAAATTGTTAGGAGTGGTAAGCAGTTCATCAGTGAAATGTTTAGTATTTTTTGAGTGAGATGGGGCCAACGGTAAAGAAGAGTGTGGAAGTAGAGCAGGGCTTCTGTCGAATTCTCGACTGTCATGCGCTGCCTCGACCTGGTGTTGGCTGTGTAAAGCTGGCCCTTAACTTGGCCTTTGGCTGTGAACCCAACAGAGTTATGAGCATTATGACAATAACGGGAGACAACAAGAGCACCTTGCTCTCCTCGGTTCCTGTGCCATAGCCTGAGATTTCTACTTCAAGGCAAACATTTCTAAATACATTAATATGTTTGTTTGATACAGACGCAGCTTTTTTCTTATTTTCATTTAAGAATCTCCTGTGTCTAGGCTTAATCAGTCTGGTATATTTCTGGTGATCTTATTTTTGAGTCAGTCTAACCAACAACTCTATATATTAACATTGTACACATGCTCATGACAACTTTAATAGTTAATATTTATTCCTTTGTGCAAGTTAAGCCCAGAGCATTTTTCATCCCTATGTGAATTTAGATTTGGGGACGAGGTATTGTAGTGAAAGACCTAGAGACTTGCTGTGGAATTGCACAATGGATTGTGGATAAAGCTAAGAATAGTACTTAGTACCTTATATTCATCCATTGTACGAGGTATAATTCATGACCCCGTGTTTTTGTCTAAAAATTCATCTGTAAATTTTTGTAGTTCTGGGACTACATTTTGTATTTTTCATTAAAGGTTATATATTCATATGTATACATATATATGACTATATATATGCTTATCTAATGACTATGCTTACCTAATTCACTGAACTATCTCAAAGCAAATATTTCTGAAATAGGTAGAATAGTAATTCTCTTTTTTAAAAATATGTTTTTATTGATTTCAGAAAGGAAGGGAGATGGGGGGAGATAGAAAGAGAAATAATGAGAGGGAATTGTTGATCAGCTGCCTCCTGCATGCCCCCTCCTGGGGTTTGAGCCAGCAGCCTGGACATGTGCCTGACTGGGAATTGAACCATGACCTCCTGGTTCATAGGTCGGACACTCAACCACTGAGTCACATCATTCGTCTCTGTGCTTCTTTACATTCATAAATATTATTAGGGACCTCAAAGCTTTTGTTTATGTGGGCATTATATTTTGGTATTTACTATATTAGAAAATAAAACTGTAAAAAAAGTATTCATTCAACAATAATAAACCATTATATTTTAACATAATTAACTTTTTAAAATGGAAAGTAACTATTTTCCATAAGCAAAAAAATTAGGACTAGTGGCACTGTTTTACATTTTTGCAAATCTCTCTAATACATGACTTAATAGAAAGCAATTGGATTCTCATCTGCTTTTGCATTCTGTTATAATATCACACATGAGGTCTTTGGAAAATTTCACTGTACATTCATGAGAGAATGAGAATGAAAATGGCAAATTAATCTAATAGTATTATGAAAGCAGTTTTAACCTCAAATACCCTTTGAATAAGTCTTTGAAAACTGTTTTCACACTTTGAGAACTGCTGCTTATGAAATATTTAATGATGAAGGAACGTTGAGAAAAAGAATTCAAATGAGGTTTCTGAATTTAAAGATCATTTTACCTTTATTGGGAAAAAGGTAAAAATAAAATGTGACAGTCTTGTGTCTGTACGTAATTTCCTTTGCAAAGTTATCATTGTAAAGAAATGTATCACCACTGAAAAATTCCAGAACATTTTGGAAGTAAAAGTGCTCAATTTCATGTCTTCTTTTATGGGGCTACTAGTAGCCCTGCGCACAAATCCATGTGCCAGTGGAATGCTTGCCTTGTTCTGGGAGTGACGACGCAAGCGTTCCTCCACCCTCCCCCTCCCCGCCCCCCGGGGACTCCAGTGGGGCTGAGAGGACTGGGCACCGCCATCTTTGTGACGGAGTGACTTAATTTGCATATTACCCTTTTATTAGATAGGATTGTATACTTCTGATTTGCTGCTTTTCAAAGCCATACTACTGTAACTTTCAATTTTATAATTTCCAGTAGAGGCTAATTTATTTGACAAAATGGAATGAAAACTAATGGCTCAATTCTTTTTCTTCTAGCCCTTCCCCACAAGAAGATGGGCAAATTATGTTTGATGTGGAAATGCACACCAGCAGGGACCATAGCTCTCAGGTGTGTATGTGTGTTTGTGTGGGTGTGATAATTTATTTTTATGATTTATAAGAAATAACTAGGGAAAATACAAGCCTCTAAGTATGTTGAGCTAAAATATTTTAAAGAATAAGCAGACTTGCCCTAGCTGGTTTGGCTCAGTGGATAGAGCGTTGGCCTGCGGTCTGAAGGGTCCCGGGTTCAATTCCAGTCAAGGGCACATGCCTGAGTTGTGGGCTCGATTCCCTGTAGGCAGGAGGCAGCCAATCAATGATTCTGTCTCATCATTGATGTTTCTATCTCTCCCCTCTCTCCCTTCTTCTCTGAAATCAATAAAAATATATTTAAAAAAAAATAAGACTTTAAAAAAATAGTTTGAAGCTGTTTTAAGTTACTCAGTTTTCTGATTTTAGAATTCACTGAAGATGATAAAGTCCTTGCTGTGCTCCTTTACAACTGAAAATTTGGGGACAACACCCTTAAAAGACTTGGAAAATTCTTGTCTATGATGTATCATTTCAGTATTCCAGGCTAGTTTCTGGAATTTATAAATAGAAAACCAAGCTATATCTTATTTAAGGTCACAAAATAAATGAAAAGAAAGGTTATTGTAGAACCAGGTATTCTGTGTCCAAAATGAAAGCAATGACTTTTAAGGTGAATTTCAACAGCTAGGAAAAAATTGATCTAAATTACATGGGTTCCTTAAGTTTAGGAAGATAAATGCAGTTCAGTAGGAGTTGACATTGTTGGAAATATAGATGGATATAGTATTGGAAGCTTATAAAGGTTTACATTATAAAATTTATGATCTATAATAATCCTATATAATGAAAGCCTAATATGCTAAGTGTCTGATCGTCCATTCAACCAATCAAAGCGTAATATGCTAATGATATGCTAAAACCACTCAACTGTTCGCTATGACGTGCACTGATCACCAGGGGGCAGATGTTCCGACCAGTAGGTTAGCTTGCTGCTGGGGTTCGGCCGATTGGGACTGAGCAAGACAGGATGGACATGCCCTGGAGCCCTCTCTCGGCCCCTCCCCCTGGCTGGCCCCAACACCCTGATAGGGGGCGGGGCCAGCCAGCCAACCGCCTGCGGCCCCTTTCCCCGGCTGGCCCCACCCCTGATGGACCCTCATCGGGGTGGGCCAACCGGACCCCACCTGTGCACAAATTCATGCATCGGGCCTCTAGTAAAAGTATATGCTGATTAGACCAGACGTCCCTTCCGGACGACCTTCTGGACAAAGCTGGGGCTGCGAGGGAAGCCTGGCTCCTGGGTGCCTGCTGGTGGCCGGAAGGAAGGCTGGGTTCCGGGTGCCGGAGGGAAGCCGGTGCTGGCAGCCGGGGGAAGGGAGGCCTACTCTTGCACGAATTTCATGCATTGGGCCTCTAGTAAGTAAATAATTGTTAGCAATTTAGAATGTTCATAGCCAACCCTTAACTTAATTGATACATCAGGTCACCTAAAAGTGTCGTTGTTTAAATTTTTTTTTAAAATATATTTTATTGATTCTCTACAGAGAGGAAGGGAGAGAGATAGAGAGTTAGAAACATCGATGAGAGAGAAACATCGATCAGCTGCCTCCTGCACACCCCCCACTGGGGATGTGCCCGCAACCCAGGTACATGCCCTTGACCGGAATTGACCCCGGGACCCCCCAGTCCGCAGGCCAACACTCCATCCACTGAGCCAAACCGGTTTCGGCAAATTTTTGAGGAAGGAATCATTGTCCTTTTCTCTTGTGTTAAGGTGCCTGAAGAATATATGTTAAATGAATGTTTAAATAAATTCTAATAAGAACTTTGTGGGGTTCTCACTGTACAATGTCTTAAACCTTTGCACTAGAAATGTTTGCATGTTGTCTGGGATCCACCTAGCATTCTTTGTGAAAGAAGGCTGCACGGTTTCTTCCTTCCTTGACTATGCTGTATTTGTGCTGTTCTCTGAAACTTAGGAAACCTCTGGAATTGGATACAAATTTATGATGAACTCTATTCTGCAGAGAAGCTCATGTAGAAGCAAGGCTCTCATATAGGAAGATGTCTGATTGGACTTGTTGAATTGCTGGCTTTTGTATGTCCGTTGGCCATATGCAGTAAACTATAACAATGAAGAGGAAAGTCTGTGAAGTTTCCATGGCAGACATGTGCTAAGAAATTCCAAGATAGAGAAATGAAGTTAATTCTTTGCTGTAGTCTGTTGTTAGGAAAATGTCCTCCATCCATAATGTCTTTTGTACAGATACGTTGAAAACTAGATTAGCATTTTCCAAATGTGTTTTGAGGAACATTTGCTCAATGGAAAGCTCCATAAGGTAGTTCTGAAGTCAAGTAAGTGGAAAATAATGCAGACCTGGGCTTCCTCACCCTCACACACCATTAGTCACAGCAGATGGTAACATATTAAAGGATCTGACAGTTCCTGCAGTAAAGAAATCTGTATTTCCCAATTATTTAGTTGACCTTAGATCTCCCTCACCCTCCACATACACTTTTTCCCCTCTAATAATCTACCTAACAACCTAATGGAACACTGTGATAAGTGCTCTCTTGCTTGGCTCATGGAGTAGCTGGTGTACACTTAGGCTTAACTAACAATTGAATTTAAGTGGACTCTAGAGCTGAAAATGTAAGACTTTTGGCCTCTGTGTCAGGTTATCATAGTGTTGCTAGTGTGATCCCTGTTCAGAAACAAGTACCTGAAAGAGCTTTGGTTCTCATCAAGCCCTGGGAAAGCGATATTACCACTCAGATCAGTCAGTTTAAACAGAGTGTCTTGTAGAGTAAGACTCCTAGTGAGGGACATGTCAATGCTACTATTTATTTAAGCTTTCAAAAGGCCATTTAAGCTTTTTAAAAAATATATTTTTATTAATTTCAGAGAAGAAGGGAGAGGGAGAGAGAGATAGAAACATCAGTAATGAGAGAGAATCATTGATTGACTGTCTCTTGCGTGCCCCTCATTGGGGGTCAGCAGGGGCATGTGCCCTGACTGGGAATTGAACAGTGACCTCCTGGTTCATAGGTCGATGCTCAACCACTGAGTCACTCTGGCCGGGCTAAGTTTTTTTCTTGAATTGCAGAAGTGATAATTTAAAATAAATCACTTTAGGGCTTGGGAGGGTGGATTTTTTTTTTTTTTTCATGAATGAGAAGCCAGTTTAGGGTTAGGAAACAGTTAAAAACAGTTAACAGAAGACTATTATGATACTTGCTCTTACTAAATATTTTTATATGTCTATATGAGGAATATTTAGCCTTTTCTCAGGAGAAAGGAAAGGTATATTAGATATATTATTGGTGCTAAATTTTTTTTTTTTAATTTTCCCCACATTTAATGATCTCAATGCAGTGAAAGAGGTGCTATTGTATCCATGAACAAATGGGAAAGGTGAGGCTTTGTCTTAATTAAGCTACTTACCTAAGATTATAAAGCAAGTAAGTGATAGAGCCAGATTGAAACCAGGGCTGCCTGAGCCTCTGACCCCTGTTCCTCTACTACAATAAGTCAATGAATGGGATTGATTTCAGGAGAGCGCACAAGGTCTTGAGAATGAGCTAAAACATGTCTGGTGACTTACAGTATGAGGAAGCCCAAGGTGTAATGCTTTTAGGCAAAAGGTCATTCAAACTATACTTTTAGGATGATAATACTTAAGAGTCTCAATTTTGTAGCAGAAAATGGACCATAGATTATCTCTTGAAGGCATTTTTGGAGTGTGTTTCTGGGACCAAAGATGCCTACCCAGTGTTGGGTATCTTTGGAATATGATAGAAACTGAAATGGTCTTCCCTTTTCCCTTTTGTAAACTGATTTACTTGAACATGGACCCCACAGTATGCAGTTTACTATCCATGCTTAGAGACCTAAAAACTTGAGGTGAGCCAGAGGACAATGTAAGTGAATAGAAGGGAAGGGCCTTCCACCTGAGGACAGGCCAACATGATCATAATCTGCTACTTGAATAGGTGTAGAGAGAGGGTTATTGATTCGGTTGAAAGCATGACTTTTATTTAATTAGAATAAGTGCATTTTTACCATATTCTGGAATTCTCAGAGTTGGAAGACAATTAAAATCTAAAACTGGAAAATTTAAGATGAATAGAAGGAAGCACAGGGCTGGTAGTGAGGAGAGCTGGATGGAGAGCTTAGGATCCCGATTTTAAACTCATCTGAGAGAAAAGTACATCTTCTTTTTAAAAAGTAGAACAAAACACTTCATTACATTTTCATTGTCCCAGAAAGGATGAAATACTACTTCGTTCACAAATTTAAGCCTAAAACCTTTAAAAATATATTTTATTGATTTTTACAGAGAGGAAGGGAGAGGAATAGAGAATTAGAAACCTTGATGAGAGAGAAACATTGATCAGCTGCCTCCTGCACAACTCCTACTGGGGATGTGCCTGCAACGAAGGTACATGCCCTTGACCAGAATCGAACCTGGGATCTTTCAGTCTGCAGGCTGACGCTCTATCCACTGAGCCAAACCAGTTAGGGCTAAGCCTAAAACCTTTGAGCAGTTTTAGAGAGACATGTGAGATCAAAGTTGGAAAGGTAACAGGAAAGACCTATAGTGTGTTGAATATAGTCAGACATTGTGTGTACATGAACTGATCTATAAATAAATTGTAACAATTTATGTTTTTTTATTTGGAATTCTTTAGATTTACTCTAAAGAGCCAAATCATGATTCTGAGTAATCTCAGTACCCAGTGGAAAAGCTTAGTCCTAAAGGCTACATCGTGTCATCCAGTGGAATTTGCTAAGTCTGGCTGAACAAAATAAGAATGATACTACAGAGTAGCAAACCTCCACAGGGATTTTTGGCTTGATAATGAAAGGGACTATCTGTGTCTAGAGAATACCTGAAGCTACCTTCCCCAGGCAGCTATTCCACAGAGAACTACACCTGTCAAAAAGAGTCACAGCGCCCTAACTGATTTGGCTCAGCGGATAGAGCGTCGGCCTGCAGACTGAAGGGTCCCGGGTTCGATTCCGGTCAAGGGCATGTACCTTGGTTGCGGGCACATCCCCAGTGGGGAGTGTGCAGGAGGCAGCTGGTCGATGTTTCTCTCTCATCAATGTTTCTAACTCTCTCTCCCTCTTCCCTCCTCTCTGTAAAAATCAATAAAATATATTTTAAAAAAAGAAAGAACCACAGGAATATGTCAGGTTCTGCATTGCGTAACCACTGGTGGATAAGAATGAGAGCTTTGGTCACAGGCAACCCCGTTTCAACAAAATAGCAAATCAGAAACAGTCCTTAGCTTTGAGATCCTTTGGTTTGAGGTCATAGCATCACAGTCCCTAAAAGTGACCAAATAATGCTGTGTCATTTTTAGGAATGTCTCATTCCTGTGGGTTCTGTTGAAAGAAGCTTTTGGAAAATTTGATTGCTCTTGGCCAGAAAAATTTAGATTATTATTAAAGAGAAAAGAGTTTTCTTTTTCATTTTTTTATATGAAAGATGGCAAATTCTGACTCAGTATAAAATAACATATTCCAAAAAAACTTCTGGCTTAAGTAGTTGAATAAACCTGGGGAAGTGTTTGGATCGTGACTTGTCTAGAAAAGTATAATCTGCAGGGAGTGAAATCTAATGCTGAGGAGTGGAGGCTCTAGAGACATTTTGCCTGGGTCTGGATTCTGGACCTGCTGCTTGCTGCTTAGGAACCTTAGGCAGTTACTGAACTCATATCTCAGTTTCCTCATGTATAAAAATGGAATATTAATAGTTCCTATTTTTATAGGTTGTTGCAAGGTAAAAGTTAATACATGGAAAGTGCTTAGAATCACTTGTCTCTCGATATATGCTTAATATATACTACTAGAGACCCAGTGCACAAAATTCGTGCACGGAGTGTGGGGAGGTCCCTCAGCTCGGCCTGCACCCTCTCCAATCCAGGACCCCTTGGGGGATGATCAACTGCCTCTCACAATCCGGAACCACTGGTTCCTAACCTCTCGCCTGCCTGCCTGCCTGATCACTTCTAACCTCTCTCCCTGCCTTCCTGATCGTCCCTAACACCTCTGCCTGCCTGCCTGATCACCCCTAACTGCTCCCCTACTGGCCTGATCATCCCTAACTGCTTCCCTGCTGGCCTGATCGCCCCTAACTGCCTCTGCCTCACCCTGCACCCGGGACCCAAGGTTCCCTCCCTCAGGCCGGCCACAGGCACCCAGGACCCAGGACGGCTTCGCCCGGGCTGGATGCAGACGCAGGCGCTGGCACCCAGGACCATGGGGTGGGCGGCTTGTCCCTCTGCCAGGCCGCAGCCTGGCTGGTTCTCATTCCTCTCTAGCAAACTCTTTTGTGCCTGGCTGGTCCCCATTCCTCTCTCCCCAGTGTTTAGTGTCTGAGCTGTTACGCCATGAGGGTGTGAGGGTGTGATGACCATTTGCATATTAGCTCTTTATTATATAGGACTGGAGGCCCGGTGCACAAAAATTTGTGCACTCGGGGGGGTAGGGGGGTCCATCAGCCCGGCCTGTGCCCTCTTGCAGTCTGGGACCCCTCGGGAGATAACAACCTGCTGGCTTAGGCCTGCTCCCGGGTGGCAGAGGACAGGCCCAATCCCTAGGTGCAGCCCCTGGTTGGGCTCAGAGCAGGGTGGATTGGGAGGTTGCGATGCCACCCTCAGTCACGCTCAGGGTAGGGCCAATTGGGGGATTGGGGCACCACCCCCTGTCACACTCAAGGCAGGGTCGATGGGGAGGTTGCGGTGCCACCCCCTGTCACACAGAGAGCAGGGCGAATCGGGGGTGGGGTGCTGCCCCCTGTCACTCACAGAGCAGGGCCCATCAGGAGGGTTGGGGCTCCGTACCCTGTTGCGCTCAGAGCAGGGTCGATCAGGGGGTTGGGGAGCTCCCCCCTGTCACGCACAGAGCAGGGTCGATCAGGGGGTTGGGGAGCTCCCCCCTGTCACGCACAGAGCAGGGCCAATCA